AAACACTCCTAAGTGGATGTTTAACCATTCTGCAGCTGATACCCTCTGTGTTTTCCTCCAGGCGAACAATGAGGCTGACTTTGCAGATATGAGTGAAACAGCTTGACAGGAATTAACTAAACTGCTGAGTGTTTAGTTTGCAAGACAGCGTTTGTGAAAAAAAAAATCCTATTCAGATTCTCAATGAAATAAGCAGAAAGATAGTGTTCATGTGCTTTTTTTTACCTTCTCTCTGTAGCTTGGTTTGGAAAACACTGACTTTATCTGATGGAGTTGTGGCAAGAAAAAATAAGGGACCACCTGCACCAGAAGGGAAAAGAAAGGTCATCACAATTTAAAGCAAAAGCAGCCATTTTTGGTTTTTAACAGTCGTACGATGCTTGTGGAATAACATCAAATGTTATCATTATTTAATCCAAAAAAAGTTCAACAAACAAAAAAGCGAAAGAGCTAATTCTGACTATTAAAAGCCAGTGCTTATTAGGGTTCGGTATGGCAAGCCCTTTGTGTCTTTATTCAATAATCCCGAACACCAAGCATCATTTTCTCCCATACTTTGTTGAATGAGTGCTGCCAAATGAGCATGTCGTGTAGTCACAAACACTCATTATTTTGCCAACTAGTGACAGTTTTATTCTTTTATTTAATCATTTATTTTTGCCACGAGAGAAAAGCTAATTAAAAGCCTAATTTACAAGAGTGCCCTGTCCAAAAATAGCAACAAAAATCCAAGTTTCATAAAACAAACTTTAAACAAAACACAAAAAAACAAAAAAAAAAGGTTTACCTTAAAATTGTGTGTGTGTGTGTGTGTGTGTGTGTTTTTGTGTGCTTGTGTGTGTGTGCATGTGGTAATTACTTTTTCTCTCCATGTGTGCATGTTTGTGTGTACGTGGAGACGGGGTGATTAGAAACGGGTGGCGGGTGGAGGGCTTGTCAGAAGTTATCTTCCCATCTCATCTCATCATAGGCAGTCTGGCGGATTCCCTCGATGGCTCAACAGCCCGATGCTGCGGTGCTGCTGTCAATCGGGCCGTCAGCGCCTGCAGAAATCGATGCCAATCTCCTTTGGTTTCTATTTTTAACCCAGGCTCAGCACCCGGGCTTTTGATAAGGATGCTACATTCTTTAGGCTCTCGGATGAGCATCCCCCCCCCNCATATAAAATCTATCTTCTAAAAACCATTAATAATAATGGTTATATTTAAGTATAATAAACTTAGGATGCACTATTCAACTAATAAATACACAAACAGCTTGCCAAAGATCCACCCCCAGTTGCACCTTATTTTGAAATAACTTCAAGGCTTTTTTTCTCCAGCTGGCAGGAAAAAAAAAACAAAGATGAGACTATATTGTTTTTTCTTTAAGCAGAGAAACAGATGGTTTATCCAGTAAACTGCAGAGCTGTTTTATTTTGGAATAAAACTACCCAAAGCTGCCACTGTGAAGCCTTTGTGTGCAATAAAAAAATTGCTGGATTTGTCTAAAAGCGTCACAGTCCTGCTCCTAAAATCCTCTGAGGATTTGTGGTAAAGAAGAAATATGTTCATTGTGACTGTAAAACTAACCAAATAAGTTTAACTTAAGTTTCTTTAGTCACTTATTCTAAACACTTGACCAGTGCTGTTGACTCACCTTCAATATAAACACCTGGCAGAGCACATCTGTGTCAATATTTGATAGACTTGGCGTTTTAATTACCCATTCCTTCTTTGTGCACTCTCCCAAATTTCAGGGATAATCTAATTACCAGGTGTGCCAACAAACAAGGGAGCCTCTTTGCCTTCCACTAATTGGAAGAAGGATCTGCGCCAGAGCTGGAAGGAAAAGTCCTTTCACTGATAATGATTGAGTGTGGAGGACTGTTTAAAAAAAATAAAAAGAGGGGGAAACAAAAAGAAGTGTGTGGTCTGCCTTGGGCAGCTTGTGGATTTCCTGTGATTTCATCAGAAGAAAAGATGGCTGAGGCGATCCCCCAGACTACAGGCAGCCGGTGTGTGTAGGCGAGCTGCAGCCTCAAATCCCTGAGAAAAGACTGAAAGAGTCTCAGTGTGGCTTTACRACTCTGCATTAGGCTGATCTCCTTTAGCTCGCCTGATGTGAAGCATCTATATGAGGTAAAACAGTACAGGAAGTTTTGTTTATTTACTGCAGTGATGGTTGAGATCATATATTTTAAATAAGAGGGATTGAGACAGAAAAAATGATTGCACCTCACAAAACGGTCATTTCAAGATGATTAAGTATATTTTGTTAATCTAAACTCTCCTATTGTAATTAGAGGTTCACATATGAGCCTGAATGTTCAAATATTTTGTTATCAGTGTGCATTGCCAATGCAATGCACACTATTGTTTTCCTGTTTCTCTTTAATATTATTATTACTCAGCTTATTCCGTCTTCTTCCACGTCGCCACGCTACTCCTCCTGCATACTTTGTCTTACAGCTGCCGTTGTAATTTCTATCTGTAAAGGTCCTGTGCCAAATGATTGCTATGCCTTCTGGTGCCTGTACAACTTGTCATTTTTGAAATATTAATGTTTAAACTTTATTCCAAAATTCACATTATAGGAGTCAACTGGCCCTTGTATTGGTCCAATAATGCCCCATGCTGGACTCAACTTGGTACTGCTCCATACTTTAATAATATTTAATTTCAATTGTTCAGTGTTTACAATACTAATATGATTGTATTTTGATGTTTTACTATAATATTGTCTTAATACTGCTCTATTGTTGTAATATTATGCTGTTTAATGTCAATAATTATATTGGCAATGTGGCCTCTTTCTGCACACATAAACCAACCCTGCCACCACCTTCTTCTACAGCTCCACTGGTCTAATGGTCCATGTCATGGACTTTCATGTGGGAGGTCAGGTTTCAAAACCCGGCTAATGTAACTTTAACAAAAAACCTCTTCCAACTTTGTATTGTCACTTAATTACCTTAATTACAAACACCTGCTCACGTGACAGGCCCAAGCTGGTATAGAAAACAAATTTGAACTTGGTCCCATTTCATTCTGCAAGTCCAGTGCTGCAGGCAAAGCCATGCAGCAATGACATGCAATGCACACTTGTTTTTACATCGGAAAAACCCATGTCTAGTTTTGATTGATTTTCTTTTTTTTCTCAGCAAATAACTTTAATAATGGAAAGATTTGAATTTATTGTGGATTCCCCAGCGTTCGCACAGATGCTGCTTCTGAGACTTCTGCCTTCTTGTTTACGTTTTCTTAAGAGTTCCTCAGTTGAAAGACTAGCAAAGGCCATTGTAACAAAATCTCCCTCCACAAGCAACAAGGAAAAATAAACGATTTTGAGTTCATCCCATTCAAAAACACTGACAGCCAATCAGTGTTGGCTATACCTATTTGACAGGTGATTCGACCAACCAAGTTAAGAGAGAAAAAAAMGATCCGCCCCTTAGGAGCAAACTTTTCCATGACRGAAAGAAAATCAAATTAATTCTTTGCCAATGTGAAATAAATGTTMATTAAAATAAAATTATATGAAAAAATGTAGGCTTAAGTAATTTAAATGTTAGTAGATTTAGTGTATTTAGTGTTTTTAATATCTATGTATTATTTATATTTGCATTAGTTAGTTATTTATGTATTTATTTGTTATTCAAGAATACTTCCCAAAGTCATTTCAAAAGTCTTTAAATATTACAGTCAAATTACATTTATTTAAGATGTCTTATTGCTTCAATGTCCATCTTCTGACATTGTACCCTAAAATCATCAATACAGGGTGCATATATGTACCATTAACTACTTGGGAACATAATTGTACCTTTCAAGCCTTCAAAAARTACAAATATGTACTGTAAGGGACAATTATTAGCTCTATAGGGGTAYWAAAGTCCAGAATGTACCTCAGKGGATAGAAAWGTACTTAGAATACACAAAMATGTACTCCTACTGTACCCTATTTTCTGACAGTGCATATAAGGRTTTACAAAAGTATTGACATCCTTAACTTGATGAGGCTAGTTTTTGTTTGACCACATTTGTTGGATTGACCAATGCACAAAGGCAAAGCTAAAAMTCCAGGGAGATTTGTAGATTTACACAAATTGGAAACATTTTTGGGAGCCGTTTTAAAAATAACTTCCAAGCTCATCAGGTCAAACAATTGTATAAGTTATTCAAATGGGTCACTACTTTACRAAGAAAAAAAAAAGAAGACTCAACCAACTCATTCAGGAAAAAATGTAAATGGGTCAGGATGTTCAGGAACCACCAAAAACTAGAAACTGCTGGAACACCGTGTACTCTTAGGCCAGTACATGGACTGGGACTGAAACACCTAAAATCACTGTGTAGCATGGGGGTGGCAGCATCATGCTGTGGAACAGTGCACAATGGCTGAATAATGGAGAAGGTGTACCTCCAAAATATTCAGCTTTACCTCAAACTAAATGTTTGAAAAGTGAAAGACAATAGATCTCAGATGCATAAAAACTGATTTAAAACGGGATAAAGCAGCTTAAGTTTAGCTTAGCCCCAACTTCAATGATGTTTAAATATTTGGACTAAACCTAAAGAGGTTTGTGCCAGAAAACCAACTAATTTAAATGAAATCTACCAAACAAAACTGTATTTGCTGGATGGATATYAAGCATGTTGTTAACCATCTAAGAGTTAAATTAAAATGATTAAATCTTGTGTGGGCCAGAGATTTTTTAAAAATCATTGTTGCATGTTGAATATTTGTTTTATAACTGGAAAAAAGATTAAAATCAATCATTAAAAGAAAATTATTATATTCATGTTTGTAATGAGTTGACTGTATATTCAGCTAAATTAATGCTGTTTGTTTTCAGACAGGTGAATTGAGATTTGAGTCAACTTTACAAGAAAAAAAACTCTTAAAACTGAAAACTTGTGATTTGTGCTGATTTGAAAAGCAAATAAACAAATAAAAAGAAATAGGGGAAACAAAAAGTTGACAGACAAATAAAACAAGAGATCTGCAGCACACTGAAGCAGGATTATTCATAATTTATTGAGCAGTATAGTGAGATTACAGCTGGGAACAAATCAAGCACAGAAAGACAAAAGAGCATTATTTATTACAGGAAAATCAAAGTGGAGCCTGAGGAAAGGGGGATGGGGGTAGATAAAGTAGAACAACGCTCATACATTAAACCTACTGTACACAAACACGCCGCGTTATTGCAGCTGTCAGAGGAAAATCCCATTATGCCAGAGTGGATGATGTTCGTGTTTCGTACCTGAGCTTGAGGATTCTGTGACCTTGTATTCCATCATAAGTCGAGGAGTCGTGACAGCGATAATTTGGGGGGAAAATGAAAACGAGGCTCTGCTGTCTGTCTTCTATCACTAATCATTTTGACGTCTTCAGGGAAAGTGAGGTTAAGTTTTGTTGGCTGGCACGAGGAAGAAAAATAAAATGTCAATCTGTCTAGTTTTTCCCTGTGTTTTTAAATAATGCAGGCTCTTTCCTGTTGATGCCATCACGGCTGATTCCCACCTAGAGGTTCCTGTGGACCCCCCGCAGGGTTTAAAAAAAAATCGAATCCTTCCTCAGCCTCTCCTCCTGTTCGACTATTCTCTCAGACCCCCTCGTGACTTGATTAAAAAAAAAGGAGGAAGGAGAGAAGAAGGGAAAAAAAAGCTAATGTGGGAGTGGGAACCCTGAAAAATAAATTAAACTGATAATGCAAGCATGAGAAACTTCTCAACCCTCCCACTGAATATTAGATCACAACAGCCCTAAATAAATCATTACACTTCCACAGACCTCATCTATTTCAATTTCATCTTGAATTATTACGCCCCTCATATCAGTGCCGATGTAATGTCCCACAATTGCAAACATGTGTCAGATTCTTGTAATATCCACAGATTAATAATTCACTTTTTTTCTCCTTTTAGGGGAGACAGGAGGGGGTTTAGCCTATTTAGGCTTTTTATTCAGATCCTGCGTGAGGCGAGGAGAGCTCATTTCAGCGCAAATACAAACAGAGAGTTGACATTTAAAGCCCAAAGCCTCGCAGCACCCACGTGGACCCACCAGCAGGATCATTTGAATTTCTTGCTTAATTAGTTGACACMGAGTTCAACTCAGGCGTGAGTTAGTGCTGATGGATAGCACACGATTAGAGGCGAACTTTCAGCAGCGTCCTGCTGTGAAATGAGTCACAGTTTCCAGGTTTGAAGATTTACAGGAAAATTGGTTCCAAGACAGTAATACTTGCTGATTTGGGAAAGTAAATATCTCTTTTTTTTTCTTACTTTCTTTTTTTGTTTGTTTGTTTTTTGTTTTGGCGACGAGCATATTAAATTCTAGAGCTTCAGGGAAACGCCTCAAATATGCTAGATTATTGCAAAAATAATTTTGGTGCAGCTGTCCCAATCAAGTTTAATTCAGGCTGTGGGGTAAAAAAAACAAACTGCTGATGTTTTATCCTTCACTACTGGAAAACAAAATTTCTGTTGTATAAATTAAAATAGAAATTAGTGTACACTCGGGAAAATGAAATTTGGGGTGTTTGAATTATTCATTTGATCTTAAATTTAGTACTTTTAGCTACTTTTCTTTTTGTGTTTTTGAGAAACATCTTTCGAATCCGTTGGATAAAACCTGAAATATTTTTAGATTCAAACAACCGAGTTCACTTTACTTTTTAGTGACGGAGACAGTTTAAGATCCTTGCTGCAAGATTTAAAGAAAAAACCCTCCTTTTCATTCAATTTTGTTTTTTCTTTAACTTCATTTTGGTGTCTACTTTCATACATGATGCTAAACTTTTTATTTAATGTGTTAGAATCACTACAATCTGAGTAAATCAGTCCAATTTAAGGTTTAAAGGCGTTCAAGATACATTAATTGAATTTTAACTTGTTCATATATGAACAAGAAGAACATGAATGTATTTTAGATTAATTCATTTAAATCTTGATTTGAAACATTCAATGCACCTCTATTTTTAAACAAGTAAACTTTAATTCTTCTTAAAGCTAACCGATTTGCATCGACGAAGCCTCACATTACAAACAGAACTCTTTCAAATCACTGTTTAAATATTTAAAAAAAACTTAAACCTGTTTTTCTAAATACGTGATGTTTATTTTTGTTTGACAAGTTAAATTAAAAATAATTACTATGTCAGTTTTATATTCTAGTTGTGTGAGTCAGAACTGATTATGACCTTTCCGTGTCACTGCTTTTATTTCTATCATGAAGATTTATTTTTCAGAGAGCACAGGGCAAAAGAATGAAGGAATTAGTCTTAAAAGTCAAGACACATGCAGAAAAATCAAGTAAAAATCCAGAATATTTTGCTCAAATTATATCCAAATTCAACCCCTTTAACATATAAAGTCATCAGTYATGTAAAATCATCGCCGGCCACTGAAAGTACAATGTTTTAGATCTTTGCTGTGTGTCTGTTACAAAATATCTTACTTGCCTTATTTATATCTAACATTAACCACTCGACAGATTTTAAGAAAACTTTCAGGAAATAATCACTGGATCTACAACTGATTGTCATTAGGAGTCAACCCGATTCAGGACGCAGTAATATTCTATAACCCATTAAAGTGCCTGTGATATCAAATTTTTGTAATAAATGCAAATGCATKTTTGGACAGATAATATTGATAAAATATTGAAAAGGAAAATTCAAGCGTTGTGTGTGTTGCTGAGATATTTGCGTGTGAAGTTACAGGAAGTGATGTCAAAGGGGAATGTCTGAATGAGAACAGAGCGTTGCTATAACACCAACAGACTGATGTTTATTAGATTATTTTGAGTCACTATAAAAGAGAGATGAATTACAGTAAGAGTTCAAACACTGTAATATTGTTTACGGACAAAGATCAAAGAGTTCTCTTTCTTAAGGAGTTCCCCTTTGATGTCACTTCCTGTTTCACTTTGACCGAGCCAAATTCAAAAGAAAATACGCCGGTTATGTAGCAAAATGGGTAAAATCATGTGTTATTCCACGTTTCTTACATATAAAGATATTTTCTTGGACTTTTTGCATTTAAAGCGTACACACRTCACAGGCGCTTTAAGACATTAAGGATGACGGGCGATTTGCGTGCTAGGTCTTTAATTCCAACTTAACTGCATTCATAAAAATTCTTTGCAACTTTGGTCTGAAAGTTACTCTCTCTCTTTTCTCTTCAGCGCTAATGGGCATTCTGGGTAATGGGCAGGAGGACATTGATGTGAACATGGCAGCTGTCATATCCACAGGAAGCTCGCTGCGTGTCGGCCAGCATGTTGAGCGCTCGCCGCGTGTTTAGTGGCTTCTACTCCTACATGAACCCATCTACCATCACGTAGGAATAAAAAGCCATAAGACACAACAGCAATCTCACAGGAGGAAGAGAAGGGGGGGAGAGGTGGGGGAGAAGCAGGGAAGTAGGGGAGAATACTAATAAGAGTCCAAGCAGCCATGAAAAGGGGGGAGTTGTTCTCTCAGCTGGAAGGAGGAGAAGAAGTGACCCCGAGGAGGCAGGGAGTATGGTTCAAGAGGAAAGATGCAAGGAAAGGAGACAGAAATGAGTCATGAGCGAGGCAGAGGAAACCTAATATTCATAGGGCGGTGCTCCATGTTTGTCTTTTTCTGTTTGATTATGTGCAGCAGATGAGCTTGTACTGCAGGCGTTAGTGGATTCGGGAAATTCCTCTGTGTGTAAGCAATATTTGCTATGCTGAAAGCAACCTGCTCTGATGAACCTAATCAAAATACATCTGCTCCGTTGTTGTTTTTTTTCTTCTACAGGCACGCGATTTAAAGTGTTGTTTGAATGAAAGGCGTGTGTTTCTGCAGATGGCTCGCTGGTAAATATTTGCCTCTGAAAACCAGACACACACTCTGGTAAATATCGATTTYTGTTCGCTCCTTTTCTGCACTCGAAAGCTCGTCGTGTTTGCGTGAGGAGAAAAGAGGAAGGGGGTTACAGTACAAGTGTGTGCAGATAAATATGCATGACTCCACCGCGGTAGGTTTCCTGCTTTGTATGCTAATGATCTAATTCAAGTTTAATTATGCAACGTAGGTGCAGTGAGGGTGGGGATGCGGAGGGAGGGGAAGCATGGGGGGCGCTGAGGCACCGCTGAACGACCTCGTGAGATAAAGCTCCGGCAATGAGGTAACAGATTTAATCTTTTTAATCAGATTGCAGAAAGACAGGGGCTTTCCACAGAGACCGAACAGGCTGCAGCTGCTAAAGGCCAGAATGTATGAGATTACAGATAAATTTAATGGTCAGTATCGATGATCACATTAGAGACAATAATTTAATGTAATGAAGAGATTCTTTTTTTCTTTAAAACACAAAAGCAACAACAGTGTAAACCTGTTGACCACTGGAGTTTAAATACGATTCCTACTTTTTTTTTATTATTTATGCTATTTTTAGTCATTTATACATCAAAATGTTCGGCTCTTTCAGGAGGTGGGTGCTCTGACTTTTCCCATAGAAAGTTTTTTGAAATCTGATCATCATCCTCAGTCTCATTTTTGTCTTCTTAGCTTTGTCTTTTTAGCTATCTTTCGCCTACTTTTAACCATTCATTACTATTAGCTTCTAGTTTAGCCTTTTGCTTCTTTTCGTTTTTCATACTCCTGCATTACTTTGGCTTTTAACTTTGCTATGTTTAACTTTTTACTGCTTATAGTTACGTTTAGCTAGTTTTACCATTTATTGTTTTGCTATGTTAGTTAGCTTTTTATTACTTTTAGCAAACATTTAGATATTTTAAGATTTTAGCTTGCATTTTGACTTTTATAGTTTTTTTTTTACTGTGCCTAAGGTTTTAGCTAGTGTTCTTTTAGATTTAACATCTCAGTTTTAGCATCTTTCACAAGTTTAGCTGTCATGAAAATAAAATACCCCATGGTTTTGGTGGGTTTTTTTTTTATTTGTGTCGAATTTGTTACAAGTAAAAAAAGTATATTGATCAAAGGAGTTGAACATGTGACCTTTTGGACCACTGATGTGTTTATTCTTGTATATAAATCTCTAATTGTCGTCTTTGATTTGAACATGAATGAACTGGTTGTTGTTTTAGTCAAACTCAGCCTGAAGTTTATTGTGAGTGCTCCTTTTTGATTCTTTAATATTGGAGTAAATGCCACTCGTTGCTTCATATCAATGCAATAAATAACTAAGTAAAACCTCCCGGTGATATTTCAAAGAACAGCAAAAGGTTTTTATCAGTTTCTTGAATATGAATGACGACAAAGTCTTCATTCCTTTTAAGAAAAAAGGTGATAATCAAACTCAAAATGCTGAAAGTGGTCAGTGTAATCAACCATCATAACTAATTATCAAATGATGATTTATTAGGAATGTCTTTTCAGAGTAATAATTATAATTTACAGCTTTCTTTCATTTTAAAGCCAGTCTTGATTAGTTGCTAATCATTTCCTGATTTGCTCAAATTTGAGCTAAATTAACTACAAACCAGTGATTGTCGGGGTTTTAATTGTACATTTGTTCCTCGATAAACATAAAAAAACCTGAATTTCTTATTTTAAAGTGCTCTTAATTAGAAATCTGACCTGCACATGATTAAAAAATAAGATGTTTTGTGCTTTTATCTTTGCTTGGTTGTGGAAAGCGGTTTCTTTAAAGCTACAAGTATGAAGCTAATGTGTATTTCTTGTTTGCGCTCTGTGTTTGGTGAAACTCTGGTGTCTGCAGAACATCACGGCTGCAGCTCCAGCTGGCGCGAGGTCTCCGCATCAACTCCTGAAGGACCCCTGCAACAAGGAAACAAAGGAAAAACAAAAGGGAGAGTAAAGATTAGAGGCGTGCCGCACGCTCAAGTTGAGTGAAATCTTTATTACTGCACTGCGGCTGGTGTGTTTAATGAGACAATCCTACGGCTTGGTTATTGAATTAACGATCATTACGAGGAGCTTGAATAACAATGCGCAGCCCGGAAGAAACTGTCGGAGTGCGCAGTTTAAGCTGTCGGTCTTTAAAAAGTGCTTCTTCCCAAGAAAATCTGGAGTCTTAAAGAGCTCACGCTGCGATTTTACCAGCTCACTGACACTTACAGCTTCAAAACACGCATTAACCACAAACCAATTATGTTGAGCTGCAACTACTTGTTGATGACTTGTGCAGTTTAATGCGCCTAATGAAAAGTTAATGGCAAGCACACTTAGAGATTTCGGCACCTGCTACCACCTCCGTTGAGGTGAAAATGGTTGACAACACAACAATGCAACCTCAACTTCTCCATATTTATCAACCTTAAGAATATTTTGCAGTTTGGAGAAGATAGTGACCCTCCTTGTGAGCAGAAAAGGGTCTCGCTTTATCATCCAAAACCTTCTGGGAATTATTTAGGATAACACTCAGCACAATAAGCTGTGACATCTTCATTGAAAAATGATTGATTGGGCTGCGGGGAGGGGGGCTGTTTGAGAGACAGATCGCTCAAACAGTCAGGCTGGAAAAGCCCAGTAATATGATGAATGGTCTATTTACCCAACAGATGAGGAGAGACTAGCATGAAGATTAAATGTGCAGGTTTCTGACGCGTCCTGCTCGCGGGGATGGATCGAAATTTGAATAATACGTCAGTGTTCTCCGTCGGGGAGCAAGTTGGGAATGAATTTAAGTTGAAAGCGAATTTTAGCAAGAATGCAACTTGGCTTAGATTGTTTTTTTTTGCTCCGCCTTCTAAAAACCCCACAAAAAAAGGTGGATGTGTGTAATTTATTCGCRTCGTTCAGCTTATTTTCTGTCATCGCAGTCAAAGAAAGTTAAACCTCCAAATTATCTCAGCTAAATCATTATTAGTTACACATAAATTTATTTCTCTGGGGGTCCCCATCCCTCAATGCTATCATAAACGGACCATTTAACACAGAAAACGCAGCAACTGTATCTAAAGTCGAGCCACTAATCACTTATCTAAACAATGTCTCCATGGATCGAGAGCAAGTGTTGATAAAGTGACCCAATTCTTTACAGCCAGCATCTATAATTGATGTGCAATAGATGTAGCAGCCCCAAGATCTGATAAGGGTCTCGGCTCTGATGGATATCCAGATAGGCTTTCGTGGGGCAGAACAGATGTAGAGTCGTGCATCAGAAAAGGATGGGGGTTGCCTGTGATCATTTCCACCCTGCAGCGAACAAAATAGCCCTCATATATCCCTGTAATCTGCATTAGCGCCGGAGCACCAGCCAGGAGACAGCGCAGAGGGGGATGAGTAATGGGGCTACCGCTGATTTGGCGGAGCTATATTACACCTCAAAAACTGAGGCATGCCCAACTGGTGAGAATATGAAATGAGGATGTCACAAATGAGCCTCCTCCCTCCCGAAGGCTGTATTTATTAGCCCGAGTCACAGCCAGAAACACGCCTCATCTGTAAATTCAGTTTATCTGCATTTATTGTTGATTAACTAACAACAAATGTCTTTTAATACGCACTTAAAGCAAATGGCGCCATCTGAATCAGGCGCTTTTACAAGTAATGTACTTAAATACAGTTTTGAGATAGTTCACCTAAAAAAAACCCTTTAGATGGTTTGAGAAAAATGCTGCCATTATCTAATGAGCTTTAGGCAGATGCAGAGCAAACAGAGCACAGTTTGAGCTCATTTTCAATACAGAGTACTAAATCCAGAAGGGCTCGATGAGTGAAGACCAACCAAAAGACCCCTGTTAATATGAAGAGTGATGTTTGCAAAGATGAGCCTCAGTCTATTTGGAGGAACTTTCTATTATCATAGGAAATACTGTGCAAACATCTTAAATCTTTCGTGCCTAACGTTTTAAGTAGCAACATTTGTCCAGACTCTTTTCTTTTTCCTTCCAGAATCTGGCCATTTTCAGAAACGAGTTTTTCTTTTTTTATTTGCTAAGCTCTTAACCCTGTCCCATGAATCATACAGACGTATAAAAGGCATCTAAGCCTTTGTGTCGACACATAACAGACAACTTGGCAAATAATCGATTTAACGAGGGAACTTGAGGTGGTGGTGAAGCTCTTTTTTGCAGCAAAAAGGTCATTAGTTTGACACTCAGATAGGGCCTGGAATTTAGAGTTTGCATGCATTGGCTTCCTTTGGGAACTAGAGTCTTCCTGCTGTCAAAAAACAACATTTTTAGGTTGATTGGAGCCTTAAAATAATCTCTAGGTGAATGTTAATAGTTAATGATGTGCCACACTTCCTGTTCAGTTAACATAGCAAAATGGACAGCTTGATCTTTAGTTGAATTTATGAAAAATACCAAAGATAACACCAAACTATGATCAGTTGAAGGATAATAATATGCTGTCAATAAGAACTAGGCAGAAAATTCCCAAGAAATACTTTCACAGACTGTTGGAAAGCCTGAAAAACTACTGATCAAAACCACCTTAAAAAGATTACAAGTAAATCTAGAAAGAAATGAGGAATGACTCAAGAGTTGTGAAAAGCTGCGGCGTTGGGTTTGTTTGCGAGTGATGAAATAAAGTCCAGAGAAAAGAACACACTCCCTATGATAAACCTCCATCATGCCCRTATCATTGCTTTGCCGCCTCTGGTATCGGAGGCACCGAATGGATCAAAGGAAATATGAAATCACAGAGTTACCAAAATGAGCCAGCCGGCACCGGGAAGCAAGTCATGGATGAAGAGGGAAAGATGGACGGGTTCTGTAGTAATGAGTTCTGACCCAAACCCCATTTAAAGTTCAGAGAAAAATGAAATCTGCCAAAAAAAAAAAGTCTCGTGCGCTCCCTCTTCTATGGCTGCACGACAGATTTGAAGAATGACATAAATGAATTTTCTTACTATTTCTAAACTTCACAGTAATGGATAAAAACTCTCCCACCCCCAACAAGAAGAGGAAAAAAAATGCAAAGCACATTATTGCAACACAAACTTTACTTCTKACTTTGTTAAATATCTTTTCTGGGCCGGCACATCTCAGCTTCTTTTCTGTTTTACTTCCAGAACTCAGTACAGCTGTTGAGTTGAGTAATGACCCGTTGGCATCATCTCCCTACCACCCATAAAAAATAAATAAATAAAAAAACCTGCAAGCAGATCTTTGGTTGGCAAGACTAGAAACATGAGCTCTGAGCCAGCAGAGGAAAATGAACATGTTTACCCAGGAGCTAAAATGAAAAGTACCTCCTGAAGAAAAATAAATTTATAAATAAAATCATGCAAAACAGTGAATTAAACTCCTCTCCTTTAGGGGAAGGCATATAACGGTTTACTCTTATAACTTCTTAGTGATATTAAATCAGCGCCTTCAGAAGGAAATTATTAGAAAACATCCAAAAACAAAAAGGGACATTAATGTTTCTGYTCGTGTGCATGTGTGAGCCTGTTAGCGAAATTTCTCAGAAACTACAGGGTGGATTTTACTAAAACTTGAAGGATGTACATCCATGGCTGTGTCCAAATTCAGGGGCTGGTCGAACGCGAAGACCAGAAAAAAGTGGCTGTTAACTTGGACAGTCTAGTCTTCTGCTTTTCCCCCGCCCTTTTCTTACTGTGATGATGCTTAAGAAATGCAAAAACAGATCGAAATTAGCAAAATATCTATATCTAGATAGATGATATAGATGATATAGATGATATA